TTACTTTTAACAGCACAAAGATGTCAAACCTTACACCTGTTAGAGCTAAATGACATTGAATTTCAAGGTGACAGTGTCATTATTCAGTCAAACCATATTTTGAAACAAACAAAACCTGGCAATCACCTACAGAATATTGTGCTTCAAAAATATGAAGCCATTCCTTCCATTTGCATTGTAAACACTTTAGAAGAATACATCCGCAGGACAAAACCTTTAAAGACAAAATGAAACAAAATTATTGATCAGCACTCAAAAAACCACACAAAGCAGTATCACATCAAACAATTTCACGCTGGGTAAAACACATTTTAATAAAGGGCAGGAATTAATAATAAATATGGGCCACATAGTACCAGAGCGGCTTCAACATCAGCGGCTAGACTACGTGGGGTGCCTCTAACAACAATCGCTAAAACAGCTGGATGGAAGGGGGCAGAAACATTTGCCAAGTTTTACAATAAAACCATTCAGGAAAAAACAGTACAAGAGGCAATACAAACAAGTAAAAAATGATTGTGTTAAAATATATCTTACTGAGCAAAGAACTTTGACAATCTGAATCAAGACTTAGTTATTCTAATATGTTTTATAACAACACAATTTTCTTTGCTTTACATAGAACAGTAATAATTAAATGTTTAGTTAGATTAGAAAATATGAATTGTTAGAACTTACTTAGATGTTAGATTAAAAACAATAACAACAACATATATAGTTCTTTTTAATTTTACCTTTCATTGATAGGAAAAATTGAATAAATTTTAAATGCACTAAAGAATCAACTCTAAAATCTCTGTGTGAGGCCCCAAAAGGGATATGCGGTTGATAAAATGGAAAGATTAAACGAGACTTACCTTAGGAAGTTGAAGTTTGATCGATATTTTATCAACCGCAATCACTTTTGGGATCACACACCCACCCAATTGCCCACCCTGTTAAATATGTTTGATTCTTTATGCATTATCATCACTAGATCATGTTTAAAAACTTGACATGATCTGATGATGGCTCTAAAGACTGACCAGTGTTGCTGATAAGCCAGCTTCCTCTCTCTGTGTGATCCCAAAAGTGATTGCGGTTGATAAAATATCGATCAAACTTCAACTTCCTAAGGTAAGTCTCGTTTAATCTTTCCATTATAAACAAAAACACACATTTTTCGTTCCAAGATGGCGGCGTTTGTTTACATTTTGTAGGATACGACGCAGTTTTGATTCCCAGCCCTGAATAACATTAGTCATAATGAATAAAAACAGCTAACAGCCTCCACAGTGTACAGGTTGAACTATTGAGGGGTTATTTATATAAACATGTTTGATTTTAAATGATTTAAGAGAAATCACATGGCCTTGTGGGAATTTTGAACAGTCATTTTGAGAATTTTTACATTAGAAATTGGGAATTTTCATGTCTTATTTCAATTGGGAACAGTACCTTTTTCGGGTGGTAGTAGTTATATAAAGAAAAAAAAACCCTGTTATGATAACTTGTTTGGAGTTCTTATGATAACTGTCATGGAGTTCTATGAAAACCTTTTTATATACTTGGAGAACTCACATGAAAAATGGTAATTTTTACCTTAAAATGGGGAGTTTAAGGTGCTTAATTAAACTATGATAATTAAGCTTGCACTACATAATAAATTATTGTTTTATGTTTCAGAAAAACAGTAGTTCATTTTTCATTGCCCTTTTTAAAAAATCTGGTAGTTTTGAGTAAAATTTCCAAATTACTTGCTCATTCGTACATATTGACCTTTTCATTTGTGATCTTCTTCCTTGCTATACTTAATTACCTAATTATAATGGAGAGTTGCAAACATAAAGCCCAGGCTAATAAATTTATACCCGATTTTTCAAATGTCACGAAGTTCTTGTGATAACTCAAAATATGTCCTGGAGTTCTTATGATAATTTTTGTTACTGCCAGTGTGTTACTTGTGCTTAATTATGGAACATACGTTTAAGCCTATTTTGTTATTTAACAAGTGTTCAGAATTTAGAAGCTCCTTAATTCAGAGGTTTCGATTATATAGAAAACAGAAGGGGAAATTTTGGGACCCTGAAAAATGTTTGGATTTCAGAAGTTTCCCTGATTTTAGAAGTTCCAGAATTCAGAAGTTACACTGTACTGAAATTTTCAGTATGCCCCCGCACCCCCCCCCCCCCCCCCCCCCCGGTGCTGGCTCTTGTTTTAATATGTTTTGCACTTATTTTGGTAAAGACTTATAATACTCATTTTTAACAAGAGCCATGGCCATCCCCCGCCTAATGGGTTTGCTCATTGGAAGAATGTATATGTAGTAGAGCAGAATAATTCAATTTTAAGAGGTCTTTTGGTAATGAAAACTTAAATGGCTGAAGTGATTACAGATTTGAAACCTATGTGAATACTGATGGCTGAAAATAACAAAGGGCAATAACTGAAAAATAATGCAGGGTAGGTTATCACTCTTGTGTGCTGCACCCCTCCTCAGTAAAATCTATCCACCTATGAAGTTGCAAGTTGATATCTCAAATACTTTATAAAATAAGCTCCGAACAAAATAGTATGAAAAAGAACAAAGGGCAATAACTCAAAACAAGAGCCCGGTTTGAGACGGGTGATGCTCCCCAAATAGGTTTTGGACACAGGAAAGTACACCTCTTGTAGTTTCAGAGTTATGTCCCTGGAAAAAGTCCAAAGTGCGATAATTCCAAAATAAGACAAGGCAGAGTCTTTGCACTGCACTTCTAATCAATGGGATCTATCACTGGGATCTATCAACCTACAACGTTTCTTGTTGATATCTCTTATGGTTTCCGAGTTATGTTCACGACAACTTCAAAAAGTAAAAATAAACAAAGGGCAATTACTCCAGAATTAGGCAAGGCAGAGTTATGATTCTTGTGCACTGCACATTTACCCATTGAGATATATCTACCTACAAAGTTTCATGTTGATATCTCTTATAGTTTTACAGCTATGTCCAGTACAAGATTTTTCTAAAAGGGGAGATAATTCATAAATTTATGAGGCTTAACAGAGTTATGGTTCTTTTGCACTGCACTTCTACTCAATGAGATCTATCTACCTACAATGTTGCATCTTGATATCTTCTATAGTTTTAGAGTTCCGGACAAAGTTCAGTGTTGAAATTAACAAAGGGCAATAACTCCAAAATTAGGACAAAAAGAGTTATTTTTCTTATGCACTGCACATCTACCCATTGAGATCTATTCACCTACTAAGTTTCATGTTGATATCTCTTATAATTTTTGAGTTATGCCCCGGACAAGATTTTTCTATAAGGGGAGATAATTCAAAAACCGAGCAAAATAGAGTTATGGTTCTTTGACACTGCACTTCCCCTCAATGCCCTCTACTACTGTATGAAGTTTAAACAAATTATCTCCAAGGGTTTTCAAGTTATGCTCCGGACCAGATAACGGACTGACAGACGGACGGACGAACGGACAAGGCGCCGACTTTATGCTCCCCCGAAATTTTTCGGGGAGCATAAAAATTATATAGGGAAGAGTTATCATTCTTGCGCACAGCATTCCTCCTCTATAAGATCTATCCATCTATGACATTTCATGTTGACATCTCAAACACTTTTGAGTTATGCTCCACTCGGGTGAAAAATTATGTATGAAAAATAACAAAGGGCAATAACTCAAAAATTATGAAAGGTAGAGTTATCATTCTTGTGCACTGCACACCTCCTGAGTGAGATCTATGCACCTATGAAGTTTCATGTTGATATCTCAAAGGCTTTTTAAGTGATGCTCTGGACAAAAATTCATTTTGAAAAATAACAAAGGGCAATAACTCAAAAGTTATGCAGGGTAGAGTTATCATTCTTGTGCACTGCACTTTTACTTAATGAGGTCTATCCACCTATGAAGTTTCAAGTTGATACCTGAAAAACTTTTGAGATAAGCTCCGGACAAAATAGTATGAAAAAGAACAAAGGGCAATAACTCAAAAATTGTATAGGGAAGAGTTTTCATTCTTGTACACAGCATTCCTCCTCAATAAGATCTATCCACTTATGACATTTCATGTTGATATCTCAAACACTTTTGAGTTATGCTCCATTCTGGTGAAAAATTAAGTATGAAAAATAACAAAGGGCAATAACTCAAAAATTATGAAAGGTAGAGTTATCATTCTTAAGCACTGCACACCTCCTGAGTGAGATATATGCACCTATGAAGTTTCATGTTGATATCTCAAAGGCTTTTTGAGTTATGCTCTGGACAAAAATTAATTTTGAAAAATAACAAAGGGCAATAACTCAAAAAATATGCAGGGTAAAGTTATCATTCTTGTGCACTGCACTCCTCCTCAATGAGGTCTATCCACCTATGAAGTTTCAAGTTGATACCTCAAATACTTTTTGAGATATGCTCCGGACAAAAATGTCGGACGGAAGGAGGAATGGAGACTATTTCTATATCCCCCGCCCCCTTTTCAGCGGGGGATAAAAACATGGTTTAGGAATCAATATTTAAAAATCATTTGGATTAAAATTAGTAAATTTCAGTTCAATGCGGTAAAACACAATACATACAGAGACAAAAAAGTTGCTTCATATTCGTGTAGACAATTATGCAAGTCCTCAGCCATTTCCATCAAAATTTACTGCAAAATTAAAGAAAGTGTAGGTCTAAAAATATAACAACAATAGGGATCAAACCACAGACCGCTCACATATCAGACAATTGCTTAACCGATTGTGCTTTTACTGATGTAACAATGACCTTAACATTAAGCTGGGTGTGATGTATGTTTCTAGGTTTAATGAGGGTCCGTCTGACCAAGCTGGTGTGACTCTCAATATGTAAGTCATATACTCCATTAATCCTTGTAAATTACAAAAACAAAGCCGAAGTGGGATCGAATATTTAAATGTGAGCTATACTGTATTTATAACTGACAGGTAAATAAAATCAGACTATAAGGAGGTTTATGTGTATTCTTTAAAAGACTGAGTAACTTTTTTCTTTCAGATCCTAGACAACTGTCCAGTATTGCTGAAAATGACTGGTCCAAGCTTGATGATCCAACTGTGTATATCACTTTTGCTCAATCAGTGATGGACTTCCGAAGCCCAAAATTTCACATTAAACCAGATGTGATTTACATGAACAAACAGCTAGACATTGCAGTACTTGAGCTTAAATCTTTAGAAGGTTTACCACCAAGCCTCAAATTGAGTAAAGATATGGGCCAAATGAATTGTGTGAACATAATTGGACTTGGACATCCGACTGATCCCAGGAAAAAACTAGATGCCAACTGTGAAGTTCTGAACAACAACCAAATAAGAAAAGACATTGACAACTATTTCAATGCAAATCCAAGTGTCTTGCAACTAAATGGACATGAACCTGGTGGCATAAAAGGTGAATACATTGAATTACATAACACTGATATGTTTCCTTGCCACACATTTTTTGAACATGGTTCATCAGGAGCACCTGCTGTAGAAGAGAATGAGGTGGTAGGAATATTAGTAAAAGGAATACCAGCCGCTTACTACAACCTGAGAGCTACTCCTTATTTTACAGCCAGTGGTATTGACAAGTTACCTAAAAACTTGATGTTTGAGCTTTGTATCAAAACCGAAAGTATCTTCAATGATATGCGCTACGTAGTACCAATGCTAGCTGATCATTTATTTGACTAAAATGGGAAAATATTTTGATATATCATATTGTGAAATGAAAGACCAGATGAATGTGATAAGGTACTTTCAATAACTACATGTATAACAAGTATAGAATAAAAGTCATTAAAGGAATGGATTTGAGAGTGTTTTATTGAGAGCTTAGAGCTTCCAACACACTCAAACTAAACTAAAATAGTATAAAATAAAGTCATCTCTGTGTTTAAAGTGCAAATAATTCTTTTTAATGTTAGTGACATGCCTTTAGTGTTAGCGCGCCATGAAGCCATGTTTGTATGACAGAAATCATGAAATGACATCACGTTAAATATATGCACGGCCTTGCAATGGTGCTTTTACAGTCACAAAAGCAGCACAGGTTTGTGATATGATTACAAGGAACTCCGGATATATGTGATAACTGTCACAGAGTTTGTCGGATGGCAGAGAGGTCAATTCATGAAATTTTCCCAAATATGTTTTGTCAGAAATCGTGCAACATCTTCACATCTGCCTCCAAGGGCATATTTGACCCCATTTTTTTATGAAAATGAAATAATTAAAAGTAGCAAAGTTATAAATAGAGCTCTAATAATAATATTTTTATGTATGAATGTGAGTGTGTATGTAATCTATTACAATGTTTTTATAATAAATGATTTATTTTCAGATTTAAATTGTAATTTTTTGAAATCATATTGTTTATTATCTTACTGTTTAGGTGTAAAAAGCCATAAGGCGTATTTTAAGTAAACTTATCTATTAGTTCTTAAATATCACATGTCAGTCTTTTTGACACTTAAGAAGATTATTTCACTTTTAGAAATCTTCACTGATTCTTATCAACACTTTGGTTTAGGTGCTATTTATTCAGCAATTAATGCTACATGTATAAGAAAAATTTATAATGTAACATACAGGATATGTTTAATACCTTTTTTCATAAGATCATTTTTATCCAGATTAAGCATCATGTAATACTTTTCTATTTTTCATTGGTTAATATTTTTTTTTAATTATTTTTCATTAATCAATGTTTTTCAATTTTCATTGGTTAATCAATTAATTATTTAAATTAATAATACTTGAGAATATTATATAGAGAGAGACAAAAATAAGTTAAGACAGTATTTTTAGGGTTATTAAGACAAAATTGGAATTTTTAAGAATTGTTATAGGAACAGAATAGGAATCATTATGAAAAAGAACTATTAAGAATCTGAATAAATGTATAAGTGACTGTTAAAAAAATCCTGGAAGCATTTTGATAAGAAGCATTGTGGACTTAATATATTTTAATAAAAGGAACTATTAGAAACTTTGTATAAGAAACTTGAAAGGAATATTGAAATATTAAACATTGACATTTCTAATATTAAACATTGACATTTCTAATATTAAACATTGACATTTCTAATATTAAACATTGACATTTATTAAACATTGACATTTTTAATATTAAACATTGACATTTCTAATATTAAACATTGACATTTCTAATATTAAACATTGACATTTCTAATATTAAACATTGACATTTCTAAATGAATAAATTGAATTAGTAATTGGGAACATCTGTGTATATTTTCATTTCCTCAAAGTTATCTGCTATCACACTCTACATACCCGGGTGTAGATTTTCCGAGGTTTATGAAAAAAACCATGGAAACTGCTTCAAAAACCTTGGAAATAAACCAGTTTTACAAGGTTTTTTCTTAATTCTGAGGTTTTTTTTAAAACCTTGGAAAATTTATCAAAGGTTTTTGTATAAAAATCCTTGGAAATAAAGAAAACCTTGGAAACTATCTCGGAATTAAACACTCTGCCAAAAATCAGCTCGGAAAAAGCTTGGAAATAAGAACTTTGTCATTTTTTTGCTCAGAAAAGAACTTAGAAAATTTACGTAAAATTTGTTGGAAACACTTTGCCAATATTTAGCTTGGAAATGACCTCGGATAATTGAACTTAACTAAATTTCATCTCGGAAAATGTTAAGACATAATCATGATTTAACTTATAATGGGCATCAAAAGCAATAATCAACAGTTAAAGCAAACTAAGATAACAACCCAACCGTAGATTGCCAATGGATATTTCTTAATCCATGGTCAGAGCAAACAATTGTCCAACAGCATGGAAAGGAGAGATTTGGTCCAGGGAATCAATTTTTAGTATGGACATTGTCAATGGCCAACTTCCTTTTCAATAAATTTGTACTTTAATCTTCTGAAGCCATTTTTGTGGGAGGAATCAATTAAAAAAATTTAAGTGTGAAAACATGGAAAAGTTAAATACAATGTAAATTCCTTGTTGCCATAAAATACCTTTTATTAATGGCTATAAAGGTATTGTAACTAATCATAATAAGACAAAGATTATTCAAATAACTGATGAAAATTTTATTTTTTTTATTTTCATATTTTTTTTTATTATTTTTAATTATTGTTACTAGATATCTTCTCCATTTTTAAGAATAGATAAAAGAGCAAAACTTATAATTATACAAAAAGAAACAATCAGTGTTTATGTCTATTAGTTTCTAAATGCATCAGTATTTTTCCTGCAGTTTCTTTCTATATATAGACTTAACTTAGGGTTTCTTGACAGCCTGTATTAGCAACACTGAAATAAGAATGCTATTAATCTTTAATTTATGTTTTTATGCCATATAAAATAGTATATTCTACTAAGCAAGTCTGTGACATACATTCAGATTACAATTTACTCTGCCATTAATTATGTGTACAATAAACATAAATAGTTATTAATTGTCCTTTTAATATTTAATTATGTACAATTAATGTGTAAAATATGTATGCTTGATACTTTCTTATAATTAAGATAAATAAATACTGCATCCACTAAGTTTTCACACACAGAATATAACACACTGATCAGATAAAACTAATGGCACCCCAGGTGGTTCCCTCTTATAATCTATGCATGATCAATCTTCTCATTGAGCATTCTGGGATAGACCAGATTGTTCCATGTGATTATTCAGGGGGAGTCTGGGTTTTTTATACAATCCAAAACAGTCTAAAATGACACTGCAACTGTGATTCTCTTATAATTTTCAAGTTTTACTTTTATTTATCATTTGATATATTTGTACCTTCAATAAAATTAATGTAAAAATAAAATGATGATGGCTTTGATATTTTGGGATCACCCCTGTTTCACATTATGATTGCCCCTTCAGTTATACTGTTGAAAAATTTGAATCTCAGACATTAATGGGTCAAGTGGTTATAGTTGGAAGTAGTGCAAACCTGGATTTATTTTAAGCAATTTTGGACATATCTTGTTTTAAATGTTAGGGAGCATATTTTGGAATTTTCAAAGAAAACATTTATCTTAGTGTGACATTACTAAGATTCAGGAAATGTTTGGTTGTTGTAATTGAACCTAAAGATCAATGACCTGGGACAGGAAGATAAACAAAAGAAACATGATAGTAAAAAGGTTCAGGTAAATAATTTTAGATACATTTATGCATAAAATCTGTTGTTGTTTTTTTTTCAAAAAAGTATTAAATACAAACTATTTTAGATCTATATTTTTAACCTAAATGTAAGCTAGTTTAAATACAATTGTTTAGAGGATATTTTATGAGTATTAATGTTATTTTTGTCTATGATTGTATTGAACAAGATGAGTGCATGAAACTATGATGACATTATTTATAAACTTTTAAAATCTTTCATCTATTATTTGAATCTACAAATTTTTAATTACAGAGTCAGACTGTTCCAAACTACAAGAAGATGGCAATCCAGCTTTGCTGTGTTTTATCATAGTATATCATTGGCATCCAGGCATCGATTAAGGAAGCCAACTGTAGACCAGGAAAGGCTTCAAGGAATATACTACAGTATGTTTTTGTTTTAAAACTAGGTTTTGAAAGTTTCAATTTGAAATTTGAATGAATGAAGGTTTCTGGAACTGATTTTTTTATTGATACTTTGTTGGAAATGCTATTAATGTTACATGATGACTCTCCAGCTTTATTGATGCAGATGTCACTTTGAGCAGACAGATACAATTAGTGCAGGCAATCAGAATCACCTTATGAAAAGCGTTATTTTTTGCAATATTTTTAGAGTGCTTTAGGTTGTAACATCAAGTATGACATTATCTAAAATAATAGTAACAGACATCGTTTCTTTGACATCGTTTCTTTCTTAAGATCGCAGAATTGTCACACTGCTTACCAAAGTTTTCTTGAAATCCTGACACTAAGTACTGATGAAGAAAAATAAGAAATCAACATGAAAAAAATTAAATTCACTATTTCAAAACAGTAGACAAACATTTAAAAGTAACTACAGAAAAGGTCATTTGAAAATATTAAAGCCTTCATTTTAATCAATCATGTCTTGAACAACTTGTAATTCAAGTAGTTTTGGATTTCACAAAAGTGCTGATTTTTTAAAACAATATATATCAACAGTGAACTGATATTTTTGTCTATGGAAAAGTTTAAGGAATGTATCATTTTTTTTATTGATTAATAAAAAAGAAATTAAATGATGTAATTCTGATTGCCTACACATACTGAACTGTCCTGAGTATAACCACAGGTGTTCCTTAATCCTGGGCTGGATAGCTCCCTTAGAGGGAAGAAGCCCATCCTGGCTTCAGGAGTTAAAAATACAATGTTGTAAGGCAAGTAGTTTGAAGTCTTTGATCCTGACCACATGGAGAGGGAAGCGCCCAGTGGTGATTTTATATAATTGTTTTTCTAACTTCTTTCAATGGCTGTACTTTATTAAATATTTACTTTATTTATTTCAGGAATTGTATCCTGGAGCATTTTCCACATGTGACCCCTGTGATGTTGAGGGAAAAACTAAGGGACATTTAAAAATCATGAAGAGTGAACAGGAATTCAAAAGATAGATATTTGAATACATTAAAATTTAACCGGATACCAAAAAATTATAACTGAACATTGAGTGTAATATTTACCATTAAAGACTTCTAACTTAACTTTTCATTTGTAGTGCATTACTATTTACTTCACACTGACATTAAATGTTTAAGTGAGTCATGTGATCATTTTTTGCTCTGTATTATTAAAAAGAAGTTTCTTAATTCCTTAAAAGGACAATATAATTGCTCTTTTCAGAATATTTCATTGGATGTTATATTTTCTGATTTTCCATGGATATTCTAGAAATTTCCAAGGTTTTTGCTCAAATAAACCTTGGAAAATTCTCTGATGCCCTTAAGTAAGAATCCTCGAAAATATAACAGTATTCACAGTTGTGAGAAACTTTCCGAGGTTTTCATTTAAAAACCTTGGAAAACAAACCACGGAAACACTTTAAAAATCCTTGGAAATCGTTCCAATACTCCGAGGTCACTCATTTTCCAAGGTTTTCTAAACAAAATCCTCAGAAATTATTTTACGAGGTTTTTATTCTGAAATCCTTGGAAATCGTTCCAATACTCCGAGGTCTTACTTTTTACGAGGTTTTTTTTAAAAAAACTCGGAAATTTTTTTTACAAGGTTTTTCACCCTCTCCCTATTTTTCCAAGGTTTTTTTAATAGCAAAGTTTTGCATTTTCTTGTTCCAATACTCCGAGGTTTTTTTCCAAGGATTTTGAGCCAAAAACCTTGGAAAATCTACACCCGGGTACTAGTAGTAGAGAAAACTATGTGACTGACTGCTTGGGGTGTAGAGCTGTCATCAATAGAGACAATATCGATGTATCGTTGATATTTTTTTGCCGATCAATAATCGATACACATTTTAAAAAATCGATACTTTTGACTAATTAATTAAATGACTAGAAATTATAAAACAAGAGCTGTCACAGGAGACAGCGAAGCTCGACTAATAAAATACTGGACGCAGTAAGGAGGACAAAACTATGAAAGAAAAATCAATTATGTATAATTATGTATTAAGTTATAGTAAAAAAATAACATTTGTTAACATAAATTCCAAGATCAAGGGGAATAATTCTAGAAATAGTCATGCTAGAGTTATGGACCTTGCCACACAACATTTGTGTAATGATAAGAAATATATATTTGAAGTTTGAAGTAGATACCTAAAATAAAGAAGTTATTATATTTCTTAAAGAAAATCCTAAGTTCAAAGAGAGATAAATCTGTAAATATTGCTTCAAGAGTAATGAACATTGTCACATAAAATGTAATTGATGATAAGGACAATAAGTATTTGAAGTTTGAAGTAGATACCTTTAAAAATAAAAAAGTTAAAATAAAAAATAACATTTTTCTAGTAAATAAATCTAAGTTTATGGGGAAATAATTCTTGCAATACTGGTGCTAGAGTTATGAACCTTGTCACATAAGATGTGGATGATGATAACGTAAATATATTTGAAGTATGAAGTTGATACCTTTAGAAATAATTGGGTTACAGTAAAAAATAATATTTTTTATGGAAAATTATAAGTTCAAAGGGAGATAAATCTGAAAATATTGGTGCTAGAGTTATGAACCTTGTCACATAAGATGGGGATGATGATAACGTAAATATATTTGAAGTATGAGTTTGATCCCTTAAGAAATAAAGAAGTATCAGTAAAAAATA